AAATGTTATTGGTAATCTTTGAAATTTGATTTACTTTATCAATTGTTAATTGATTAATTACAATTTGGTTGCTATTGTTAACTAGGACGTTATTTATTTTATCTTTTATTATTTCAAAATCATGGTGCACCGGACTACCGGCTAACCATTTCTAGGCGCTACCAATAAAATGCAGAGACCTTTTTGTCATTGTCTGGGATTTAAGTCTGGATAGACAGGATTTTATTTGGGATATGGAATAGGATAGGTAAGGTAATAGTAAGCTATTGTTGCTGTCACGTATGTCAATCCCATTTTCTAATGTTTCTATCAAGTTTTCATACTGCCTCAAGTCAATTGTATGGACAAGTTTGAACACGCCGTTTTGAATTTTCGCGGATCCCTTATTGATCACTACTAGTCTAGAGTTAGCGTAAGCCATTATCTGGAACTCTCATGCAGAGTAACCAAGCGGCAGAAATAATCTGTAAGTAAATGTAATAAAATTTAGTTCTTTGTGTTTTTTATGAACGACCCTCCCATTTTCGGTCACTACGGTTGAATGTCTGTTTTCCTTTACTAGTTCTCGTTTGAATTTTTCGGAGAAGTTTGTTCCAAGTCTTTTGTTAATTCTGACAAAAATCTCCTGTCCGGGTATGTATTGTTTGACTTCGTCTTTATCTTTGTTGTGATAGTTCAAATCCTTTTCCTGTTTCCTTTTCAGCATCTTGATATTATTTTCCCTTGTTCTTTCATAGCTTCCTGGGGGAAAATCCACAGTCCTCCCGAAAAACATATCTACTGGCTTCTTACCGATTGTAGAATGTATTGAGTGGTTATATTCGTTTACGGATCGTTCCAAAAGCTCCTCAAAATTCCTACAAGTACCTTCCTCCTTGAGACATCTCAAAATTTCGGCCAATGTTGAGTGAAATCTTTCGATTTGGCCATTGGCTTCACTTTTGTATGGCGGTGTTGCAAACACCTCTATTCCCAATTCATCTTTCACCATAAAAAGTATGGTTGCAGAATTCAATGATTTTTCGTTGTCCATGACAACCATTTTGGGAACTCCATAGAAAAACAGAATATCTCTCAAAGGTCCCCCAATATCCTCTATTGATTTTCCTTGGAGAATCTTGGTTTGAGCGTATTTCGAGAACTTATGGCCGTCAAAACTAATATTCTATCTGTTGAGAAAATATCAATATGAATAACCTGACCTGGGTAGTTTGGTATTGGTATTGGCATTCAGTCTTGGTTGACTTGGATGTCTGTCGTATTTATTTCTCTTGCATGTGGAACACATTTTTAATATTCTTTTAATTTTAGAGAACATACTGGGAAAATATGCTTTTTCCAATATTTGCATCTTATTTTCTTATGCGCACGATTATGAGTTTCTATGAGTATCGTTTCTTGATCAGATTCCGACAAAATTTTGAGTAAAACGAATTTTAAAATTTACAAAATGATGTGGATAATTTTTTTGAATTTTAGTATTTTTAATGCAAATTATAACCGATGGGTTAAGGTATCTCTTTAAAATTGAAATAAGTCTTTCAGTATCATATTCTGGTTTCGATATTGAATGTCTATGATAGCCTAGAAAAATTATTTGAAAGTTGTAATCCGGGTGTCGTTGATTTTAAGAAAAATTTGATTTTTAAATGCATTTATCGGCACTTCAACACTAGGAATAAGTTTTTCTGGTGAACTGTCGTTACTATGTACTGTTCCCGTTAAAGACTTAAATTTCGCTTCCAGAAAGTGCATCAGCCACAACATTACTTTTACCTGGTTTATATTGCATTTCATAATTGTATTCCTCCAGTGTTGCTTTCCATATTTCCGTCATTTCCGCGTTGTTGTTCTTATTGCTCAAAGCATAAGTTAGCGGTTGATGGTCGGTGTGAATTATGAGCTGATCCATATAGATATTTTCTTAAATGGGTTAAAGCCCATATTCTGGCAAACATTTCTTTTTCATTTGCCGTATAACCCTCTTCTGCTGTTGTTAATGTTCTTGAAATGAAGGTAATAGGGCTATCACCCTGGCTTAATACAGCTCCAATAGCAACTTTGGATGCATCTGTCGTCAAATGAAATTCTTTCTGAAAATCGGGATATGACAAAATAACTTCCTGCGATATAAGGGCATTTTTCAAGTTGTCAATAGCTTGTTTCGTTTCATTGTCCATTTTTATTTTCCTTTTGCTTGATTCTGTTCTAGATATAAGTCCCCCATCTCCTCGTAAGAGTTTCGTAAGTGGCTTTGCGATGTTTGCATATCCTTTTATGAATCTTCGGTAGTATCCCGAAAGACCGAGAAAAGATCGAAGTTCCTTTACACTATTAGATAAGGGAAGTCCACTATAGCCTGAACTTTCTTTGGGTTAGCTTTTATACCGTTATGTGAAACAATAAATCCGAGAAATTCCACTTCTTTTTTAAAAAACTCGCATTTATCGAGTTGTACTTTCCTATTTGCACTGTTAAGTGTTTCAAAAATGGCTTCTAGATCCTTAAAATGTGAATCTTCGTCTTTATAAACAAAACATCTCCTACCGATGTGTTCCCTTAAAATGTCGTCTAAAGCACGTTGGGATATCTTTAAGTCGATAACTGAAAAATATTTATTTCCTCCCAGATGGGAAAGAACGAAAGAACGTGAACAATATTCCTCAGAGCCATTGGATAGGGGTAATTTTTGAATAAACGGGGGTTTTGGTTGTTGTTCTTATATCGCCTACGACCCTAGTTGTGTACGTTACCTTTCGTCAGGGTCTTCAAATAAAGTCCTATGCCGATTGAGGATGTTCTTCAATAACTTCTTATTATATTCCGAAAGATGGTTTGTCCTAATTTCGATATAATTTACGTTCTGAGAAATGAATTGTTTAATTGGGACTTTTCTACCTCCCTCAACGGTGAAATAATCCTCGGTTGTATGTATCACAGCTGAGAACTCTTTTAAACTATCGTTTCCTAATATTGCATCAAATGTTTCTAGTTCGGGTAAAAGAAAAAAATTTATGGCAGTATCACCAAACAATTTTATAAATTTATGCTGTGTTATTTCGATGTCACAATTAATGGACTTTGCTTTAACATTTCTTTAATTTTGTTTCGGATTTTTTATAAATTTTGGGTTAATGTAATTTTTATTTCTGTCAGTGACTGCTACTTCCTCAGGAATTTGTTGAAAGTAATCATCATCATATTCAAAATTCACGTTTTGGTTATGATGGCTCACATTACCATTTTCCGGCCGATAGTAATCATAAAAGGTTTCCTTCGGCATACAGTCAGTATTTATTTGGAAATTTACTCACTGGAGCTTGAAAAGATTCTGCTGGTCTTTTTACTGCTAAATTGTTAGGTGGTCTGTTAATGTAATTGACATGGCGGCTTGGATTGAATTATCTATATCCGTGGGCTCTTGTAGTCGATTTTGAAGACTATTTGGGAAATCTGAATTGCTTCTAAAGTTTTTAGGAAGGTTACGGTTGTGATTGAAGCTAATATTACTATTGAAATTTGGATTAACGCTAGAGTAAAAGTTTGGGCTGTGGTTTAAATTCTGATTGCGACTATAAGTCGGATTAAAAATCGAATAATTGTTTGGGTTACGGCTAAAGTTTGGGATGATATTACGCCTAGGTGGAAGAGGTGGTCTCGAGGACGGTGTTCCACCAACATTGGCAAGTTCAGGATAAAATACTCTTTCATTGTTAAAAGTCACCGTACCGATCCTATCCTTTTGTATATTATTTCTGATAGATTCTCCATGGGCATAATTTCTCCTAAATGTCATATTGTCCAACTTTAGACAAATATGTAATGCATGTTGCAAGGATGTCGGTTCGCGTACGCTCAATAATTTTGGCAAATCTCCATTCAAACTCCTTACAAACGTATCTAATGCTTTTTTCCTGTAGGTGTTTGTCATAGCGTGAAGGCTACATTCTTCCAGATCTAGAGAAGAGACTTTATCAAATAATAGAGAAAGGTGCTGGTAAACAGATGATCGGACGATATCTGCAAAGCCTCTTTTATCATTAGGGATATCTGTTCCATTTGTAAAATTTGTGTGGTAAAAAAATTTATACAATCTTAATTCTTTCTATTATTTATTTTTTTTGTTGCTTATTTTTTTCTTCTTTACTTTATATTTTGTTTATCACTGACAGTTATAAATTTTTATATTTTTTTTGTTTTGTGTTTCTTTATTTATTTATTTTTCTTTAGCTATTTTGTAAATATAGATTTTCACTGTACATTTCTCTTTCTTTTATTTTAATGTTTTTTTATGTTCACTTAAAGCTTTATCTTTAACTGTTTCTTACACTAAATCACGGTCGCTGATCTACTTTGAGACCTCCGTTTTACTTCTTATTTTATGAAGAGGTTGCTAAGGCGCGATCCGCGATCTATTTATTGTTTTCCCGGAAAACTCTTTTCCCGAGGGTTTTATTTTACGAATAAGGACCTTTTTTAAGGGTCCCTGCTCAGGCGCCAATTAAGATTTTTTAAGTTTAAAATAGTTAAAAAAATATATTTTTTTATGTTTGTTAACCTATGGTTGACACAACCTTTACTGACTGCAATGAATTTACAATTATTATTCCTAAAGACAACTATCTAAACTTATAAACTGCTTATTCTGCATTTCCCACCATCAACTCACTCATGCAATTGTTGCGCGTGTGGATACAGTTTCATTTGGAGTTCTTGCTTCGCGTGTGGATTAGATTTCACCTGGGAACGTAATCTTGCTAAATCGGCAGGTTCAGCATTGGCACGTTTGGTTGGTTTGACTTGTTGTTGTTTGGTTTGAACTGATTATGTTTCCTCGTTAACTTACATAATTGACACGATATTTAATCAATTATACCAAATAATTGTTTTATTTTTCGAGTTGTTGTTATAAGATCAATTGTCTTAGCAATTCCTAATATTCTGTATATGTAGATTTTTGATCGGTGTGCCTTCACTTACTTACTTTTTTCTCTTTTCAGAATTGGGAATTAATGAACACAGCTGTTTTGACAGGACGTCAGGTGGCACAAGCGATGAAAGTTTTTATTGTCTCTCAAGGAGGAAAAGTTGCAGATGTTACTTTACAAAGCTCATGTTATGCGGAAGACGAGAGCGTTATAAAGGTAGGTTCGAAGAAACCTGTATTTTTGGGCAACATTGAAGGTTTGTATCAATTTACTTTGCTTTCCGAGATCAATTATATGCATAATTAGTAACATAACATAAATAATTAGATGTGTGTTACTTAATCAACTAGAATATACTAGACAACTATTTCGTTCAAACTCTGATTACATTGGATAGGTCAGTAATATATGTTATTTAAATAACGCTTTTATATATCATGTCTAATTTTATTTTATTTTATGGAAAATATAATGATGGAATGTAAAATGCATATGAAAACCTAGCTCGAATTGATCTAATGCTAAAACGGTTATCGCGGCTTGAAGGCATCTAATGCTAACATGTATGTACAAGCAAATAAACATATTGACAATAAAAGTTATAGCATCCACGACAAAAAAGATAATATAAAAAGATAACAATCATTTAAAAAGATTAAAAGCAAATGTCAATATCAGATTCTAGTACTTAGGAGATGATAATATATCAGATTTTAATCATATAGGTGTTAATCACATTCTCAAATGTACCGAATAAAATCCCAAATGGGTGAATACAACGCCATCTAGAAATATTTTTAATTTTTTTTTCAGTAATTGGAACAGTGGTCGAAACAATTATCCTTACCTCAAAATAATTTCCGAAATGGGTAAATACGACGACATCTGACAATATTTTTAAATTATTACCGCAATGGAGAGTACTCTGAATGATGCTAATGTTGCTTCGACAGAATTGTCCTTATGGAAACAGGAACAGTGGATGCAACAATTACCCTTACTCCAGGATAATTTTTGAAATTGTTTAAACTTTTCTTACTGGAACAATAGTCGAACATAATGAATGGAGAGTCTTCTTTGTGAACTTTCAAATGCAGCCGGCAATCAGTGATGCCAACATTTTGAGAGCTAAAAGCGTAATTAAAAACCAGAAAAGCGTAAATGGCGTAAAAATTTTCCTTAAAAAAGCGTAAAAAGCGCTATATATTTTTTTCTAACCAAAATTGTCAATAAAACACTTTTTTAAACTAAATACTGTTTTATTCAAAAATTTAGATCGTATCTTATATAAACATTTCATTAAACAAACGTTGTTTTTATAAAAACAACAATAAAGAGATAAAGCCTGACCATTTTGCAACAACAAAATAAACATTTCATGTATATAAGCGCATACATATTTTTAAACAAGTAAAAAAGCAGTAAGTTCGGCCTGGCCGAACTTTGAATACCCTCCACCATTAAAAACGAATTAGGAAATTTACAAAAAAAAATCCATTAAAAATTCTGTTAAAATCTACAAAAATACCCAATATCGGAAGATGCCGATATATTGAGGATATACGATATTGTGGACCTATTCTATTTCAGGGGGTAAAGTTCTCACAAAGAACTCCTTGTGTAGAATTGCAGACAATTCCATTGAAAAAATGTGTCTTAAATCAACAACAACATATATAAATATTTCATGTATATAAGTGCATACATATTTTTAAAAAAATATGATATATTAGTTACATTTTACACGTGGTTAAAACTTGCAGACAAACACATTTTTACAAACAATTATGTTCCATAGCTTCAAATTCAGTTGAAGTTTTGTAAACTCGTACAAGAAAGCAGCCATGTATAAACTTACGTTTTTTCTCGTTCATTTCACTTTTCCTTCAATTGGTTTATAATACACAAAATTCTTCATTTTATTATGGTTTATTAAAAAAGAGTAAACAAAAGAACTTCAATGACAGGAATGACACGTAAAGAATTTGTAAAGAACTTGCGACAAGTAGATGTCATACTATCAAAATATTCGAATATATAAACATTGCTATGTTTAAAAATCTAAAACGCGCTAAAAGCACCAACAGAAAAGATGAAAAGCGTACGTACAGTGCTTTTTTTTCGTTTCGCGCTATGCCCACTATTTTGGCGTTTTAGGGGGTCTAAAAAGCACCATAAATAGCGCGAAAAGCACTAAGTTGGCATCGCTGCCGGCAATTAGAATAAATGATGGTTGTAGTATTTTGCAAAAGTAATAGAAAATATAATGTACGTTTGTAGTTTTTTTTTTTAATAGTATATTTGATTCAAAATATAGGTAGGTTTTGATAGTTCTGTTTACTTTAACAAAATTCTGTTAACTGAAATGTTTTCAAAGTAGCTTTGTGGGTCTGCTAGTTAAATACGAATTTATCGACATGCTTAAATATTGAAACCCCATAGCTTTATTTGAAACTAGCTGACCCGGCCTGCGTTGCCCGCCCGTACATTAAGCCTTTAATGTATATTTTTAAACATAATAAATCACCGATCTGACTTATGTAAGCGGCACAATTTTTATTGTGTATTAATAATGACTCCATAGTAATTTCTAAATAGAAATAAATATTCATTGGAAAAATTATAATATATGTTCACCTACCCTCGGTTTTAGATATTTTGAATAGCCTGATCTTACTTTTTAGCCATAGGCTTTAATTTGAGTGTTAAACCCCTATAACCCCATCTATAATAGCCCCATGTGAAAACTCAGCTCAATTTTTGGTATTATAAAGAGCTTAGTAACATTTTTCATTTGAATGGAATAATTTTAATTTATATTTTCAACGTTTAGAATACCGTGCTGCGTGGTATTAAGTTTTGTCCACCTCATAATTGAGGGCAGAATGATTTCGGAATAGTCAAAGATAATTACTCTCTTACACCCATTTCCGTAAGATGAGAAATATTTTTTTTTGTTATTTATATTAAAGTCCATATATTTCATCACAGTATAATTCAATGACGATTAAACAAATGTTCGGTCCCGTGTTACTTTCTCATATTCGTAATTTTTTTCATGTTTCTGCCACAGTCTCCGACTGAATGAATCCCAGTGTGACAATTTGGTGTTTATTTTCTATTCATAACACACATTATTTGGGAAAGTAGACTTGTGGGTACACTAATGTTGGGACTATACTTAAAAAATGCCTATATGGACAATTATCTTTAAGATGGTTCTCTAAATACAATTTTTTAGAGAAATCAATTGATGAATGTGGTCAAGACCAAGATGGATTGAAATGGAACATTTTATACGAAAAGGTTCTCCACCCCCATTAGAAAGTAAAATGCGAAATAAGGGCCAGAAAAATGAAAAAAGTGTCCAAGATCCCGAAATAGGAAATAATAGATGTTTATACCAACACGTGATCATTTTTTGCAAGTTTGGTTTCTTCTCAAATTACCAACATTTGCCGAAATTAGTATAAAAAATATGCTTAAAATGTAAAGTATACTTGAAATCGGGTTGTAACGTTATACGGGGGTTATGACCCATATCATGTCTTGCAAAAGCGATTTAAGGTATCATGAACATTTAGAAAGAATTTTTGGAAGGATAGAAATCCTTTCTTACTTTTACTTTGTTTATGAAAGATCGCCATTTAAAATCGTATTGCGCACTCATTTCATTTTTAATATAATTCATATACTTCAATTGAAAAAATTTCACGCTATTTTTTTTTCATTCACAAGATACCATTCCGAATTGTATGAAAAAAACTAACATAACTTTCATTTATATGCTGAAAATAATTCTTTAGTTTGCACACAAAAAACGATTGAATTCAATATAATAAGCTGAATTGAAAAAAAAAAATCGGAAAAGAACAACAAATTGAAAAAAGAAAAGAAATCTTTAACTTGTTCGCTGTTTTTTACAGCAAATGTTTCAGGTCCTTACGATCAATATTATTATTTTGAATATTATTATTAATATTATTATTTTGAAATTCGATTTTAGAATTTTTGCAATGAAAAAAAAAAGAAAAAAAAAGTAATTATACTTTAAGTTGGTGTGACCGCGTTAAATTATTTCGACACTCAAAAAATCGCGTCAATTAACTGAAAAACATTTTGTTTGAATATGTATCAGAGTCGGTTGTCCGTTGCACACCTTTGAAGTACTGTCCACATCCATTTTATAATAATTGATATATTTATAGTAATGTAATCAATTGTGAAACAGTTTCCTCCACAGTTTTAAATATAAAAATAAATATCGGTGTGACTGCAAATATTTGCCAGTTCTGTATTATTATGCCCTACACCATAGTATGCAAGGTATATTAATTTTGTCATTCCGTTTGTAACACCTCGAAATATAAATGTTTAATGTATATCCGCAGCGCGAAAACTTCCCACTTCGTGGTAGCTGACCCGGTCTGCGTTCCCGGAATTTCTACGTTTATTCATAGAGAATAAGCTGGCTGTTGGCAACTTATTCTACTTAAGTTAACTTACAACTAAAATTTTTAGCTAATAAATTTTTTATCAAGAGATGAAGCCATGTTTAAATCCCATAACACTATTTTTTATTACCCATTACTCTAATTTATTATGAGTTTTATTCACAAGAAAGGGAACAAAAGTATTATGCAGAAAATATAAGAACCGTGGCAACCAATTTAAAGTTTTTGTTGCCATAAATAATTCGACAATAAAACATGATACACGGACATGTTGATTAGGAGGTACCTTAATTGGTACCAGATTATGTTAATGAAGTTAGGACGTGAGAAGACATTTATTTAGGCCCACCAAGAGATCGTGCTTACGCCCAATACTTTCGTACGGAGTAAACTTTGGATAAGTCTCCGGAGCTTAAAGCCGAGTATAGCCGGATTCTACGGGGAGACTGATTTGAATCATACGCAGTCGTCGCAGTGTCTCATAGGGAGAAACTGGACGAGAAGCAGGCGTCGTTCTACTTGACGCTCCATTCGGTTGTAAGGTCGGATATCAAGTCAGTTAAAGTAAAAGTAGTATTCAATGGGTCAAAGAAGAGAACAAGCGGGTAATCTTTAAATAATATTCCTCCTCCCTTGAATAACTTTAACTGCAGATTTAAAAATTGATTTTCACTGGTGACATACAAAGAGATGTATCGCCAGTTATAAGTCCAAAATCATAAAAAAAAGAATTGCTAAAACCAAGACAATTCGATTTATCTA